AATATGTGTTGGCCCAGCCGCTTGTAGTTTTCTCTAGGGGCGCATATGGAGAACAATTGGGGGGACAGTTTCAATATATTACAGGAAGTGCCTGAATAAGGCAAGACTACCAAGTATTCTTACTAAAGGCTAAAGATTTATAAAAATTAAAAACAACTTTTTAAAATAATTCGTTTGTTAAAAGCTTATAGAAGGTTTTAATCAATGAGGTTCACATGTTTTTGAACTTTTTCACTTGCAAACTCAACAAAACACATAATATGATTTGGATCTGCTCAATACACAATGTTTCTTTTTTGTGTTAGTTGTTGGTACAATTGTTCTTCACTACCATTTGTTATTATTATTAGCAGGCAAGCTGAATCAGAGTTGGGAACACTAAAAATTAAACTAAATAAATTACTTTGTCTGTATTGCCACATGCTGGCCAGAAGTGATACTGAAAGGATTATAGTTTTTTTTTTTGCTCACCCCCAGCATTGAAAGTATTAAGTTATTGATTAATCTCAGATATGTATTATAAATGATTGGCCTTTATTCGATCTATATCATTGATAAATGTGTGCAACATGGAATGTTTACAGGTTTTTAGAGAAAGCTGCATAGACAGAAACATCTGTGTCTGAGGTTAGGAAGGTGCAATATTCAATACTGCTTGTGCCGACATGCACAAGAAGACATATGCTATTATGATGCAATTAAGTAAATATAATACCCACCTACTTCATATTCAGTGGTGTTTTTTTCTGTTGCACAAAGTAGTCTTAATAGAGACAGATAAGAAAACTTGTATGACTCATCTTTTAGCACATAAGTGATTTATTTTATGGGACGTGAGACGGATGCCCAGAAATGAAAAAGAAACAAAGTAAACATTAATGTCACTTTTCTGCAACAAATTTTTGTTCGAAATGATCATTTAACTCATCCAAAATTAAGGAAAATTCTGATTCATTCAAACGCCGAAATTTAATGACTTTCAGACCCGAAAAATGAAATAACGAAACATCCGAAACGACATGCAACTAAACACATTTTTTGCTGGCTGACATGTCTAGTTGTGATCTTTAGAATTCATTATTTCACATTACATCCTCACATGCCCAGGTTTGATACATCTCAGTTTCTGCTATGACATACTGGCAGTATGGTGGGAATCTTGCTTATGCAGCACAAATCCATAAAAATGAGGTGGAGCTCAGAAATGGTGTTTCACAGCATTCAAATTGTTGCAATAAGTACTAAGAGTACCAGACGGCTGAATATTGTAAACAAGAATGACTTTTATTTCCTTAGAAGTGCTGTAGGGATTGAAGGGGTCAACACGGTGCCATTTTCACATATGATCACTGCTTTGAGATATAACCAATGGGTGTCATGGTCGATTCTAGAGATTGTTTCCTTACCATCTTGTCTTGAATCGTATTGCAATGGTAATGTCTTCCTTATATTGGAAAGCGTTGCGCAAACTGTTGGCGCTATATAAATCCTGTACAATAATAATAATAATTGTGGCCCCTTTAGTGGCCCTTTCAGGCCTGTTCAAACCTACAAGGGATGAAAACAAAATATAAAGAGTGCTTTTCCTAAGGTGATCCTGGTGGTTGCTACTTATTTCCATTAAATATCTAAGAAGACCTGTTTATATCATTAAAGGCTTGCACTTTTCTAATAAAAAGTTGTCTTTGTTTTCATTCCTTAAGTTTGTATTGGTGCCCTCATTAATGAGGTTTCCCCTTGTTTATTGTCCTAAAGGCAAAACAGGAAAACAGGAAGTGAGGAGAAATCTTCCCTCACTTCAGTGGCAACAGTCATCAAGACAGAAAGAGAGCGTAAATCAACCCAATCAGGACATAGGTTGCAGCCCAACGAAAGACCTAACCCTTGCCCGCTCCATTCAAAACTAGAGAAAATGTTAAGGGTTAAATTATCTAATCTCAACCAAAAACTCTTTTACAGAATAAGATGCCAATTCATTTTATCTTGTGTCACCTAGTGTAGAAATAAATACTGCAGCAAAGAATAATAATATAAAATCACACATTTTAATTGAAAAAGTATCTTTCATATCCTCCTACGCCCTGTAGTGTGATGCGTCCTGAGCTGTACAGCGCTCTGGTCATTCTGTGCGGTGTGTAAATTATTATGCTGCTCGGAGTGTGACTTTAAGGAGCCTTGGCTACCTGGCTCTTGTGATTTGTTCAGACCTGATTTAATATACTGCATCACATCACCATATACAAAAAGCCTCTGATCAAAATGTAGATAATCCTCTTAACAATTCTAGAAAACAAGAAGTCGCCACTCCTTAGCCCATCCAGTGGCACTGATTTCCAGACAGTCAGGTGCAAGTACCAAATCCAAGCATGTCCATGATCACCTGTGCAAATCCATAAGTGAAAGACTGTCTTTTAAAAGGCTTAATCCTAGACACCATCATTGGGTCAAACACATCAATAAAGGAAGGTTCCAGGTGTCGCTGGAACAATTACGTTTTTTAAAAGCTGGAATATTTGGTGTGTCGTGTAACGGCATCAGCCATATGATCAGACAAGTGGTAACGTGCAATTTGGCATTTACTGAACAAAACGGAAATTAAACATAAGTTATACAGGGGAAGATAAACAAACAAATAATTAGGCATTGAGCAAACATTAATAGAGTCAAAGAAGATATAACAAGCCCATGAATGCCTGGGGCAGTTCCTCAACTGGCAACATAATTGGCAGCATCATACATCAGTTCTTCTAGGTTACAGGTAGAAAGAATTGCAGTATCCTGGTAAAAGGCTTTTCACACTTCTTTCACTGGGAGACAGCTGTTGATAGCTGAGGTAGGTGGCTGCTCATGCATGTTTCACACTGACACTGCTCCAGAGACCTTCAATGAGGAGGATCTGGTGGCTGAAGGAATGGCCACCCCACTGTGTGCGCAGTATCCCAGGGTCGGCTGCCACAACATCCCTCCAATGACTAGAGCTTAAAAAAAAAGCTGTGTGCTCTTCTGCTCCCCACTGGCGGCCCGGACTAAAGACTTAACAGGAGAGGACCCAGCACCTGGTGATAGCTCACATGCCTAGTCACTGCTGTCCCATCATGAAGGGTCTTTGAGCACCAGAGGGCAGGAAGAACTGGAACTTATATCCCAAGGGCATGTCCCAGAACACAGAGGATGATGGTAGTCCAGGGAACCACTATTGTGCTGAAGGATTTAGCCGTAGCTTCGGCTGATCCTTTGGCTCTCTTTGGCCACCGGAAACCCTTTGGTTCAGTCGAACCGATGGGCTGCTGTACTGGCTATTCACAAAAGCCCCTACAGCAGCCGAAGGCGGCCGAGTGGCTTAGCCGAGCCAAAGGCACTGAGCCAAAGTGACAGCCGAAGGCCGGCTGTTCGATCCGCAAATGATAGTTGGGCAGAGCCAGCTGTGGCGTCACGGCCAGCTCCGCCCAGTTGTTATTCATTGGCTGGGACCTGCTAGAAGACTCTAGCAGGTGCTGGCCAATTGGAAACAGTTGGAAACAGTCACTGCTAGCTTTGCCCAATTGTTTTTTTTTTCTTTAAAATATCTTTATTTTTTGTAAGTTTACTATTTGTTTACATTTTTAAAATGGTTCTACTTGTTTTTTTCCCCCTTTTCTTTCACTTATTTTCTATTCTGCTCGGTACCACTCAGTACCACAGAGGTACCGAGCAGAATAGCAAGCTGAATGCCGCTCGGTGGCATTCGGCTACTCACTCACTGCTGTTCAGCCCCTATGAAAATAGGGGCGAACGGCAGCGAGTGAGCTTGCCGGAGCTTCAGCTCAGCTGATCCAGTTGTTGTTGGATCGGCTGAGTTGAATTCCTTCTGCATTTCGGCTCAGCCGAACATCAGCTGTACAAGCCAGAAGTGAATAGCCGAACAGCGTTCGGCTCACTTCACTTCGGCTGGGTTATTCACTTGGCTGCGTTTGGCAGCTTTGTGAATAACCCTCTAAGTTAAAATGACTCACACCTTTCACTGGGGAAAGTGAGTGAAGAGGCACTCCACTACAGGTGTGTAGTGGGTCTTTCACTGACGGAACCTAACAGGGGCTCATGTGGACGGATGTGGTTTTCCCTCGATTGACATGCCTTTAGAATGGTTAGTAAAATCCTATTGACTTTAAATGAAAAGTACACATGGCAGTGCAGCATCTGTGTTTAACCTGCTTTGCGTTGTGCTGTGTTTCTTTGGGTGCAGCATGTCCAATTGAGGTGCTGTGTTTGAAGAGAACAGCTTGTCAACATGAACCACATATGATAAGAGATGATTGATAACGGTGTAGCGATAACTCCCCGCAGAGAGCCGCTGATTGCCCGGTCCTCATCTAGTCAGTCTAGGGGTTGATTTTCAGCCGCACACTAACCGCCCATAAATTGATGTCCACTTCAGTATTATGATGCTACTTGAACAGCTTATTGAACATACTCTGTGGGAGGGAGGTTATAGGGTCTAGGTGTACAGGCCTCCTTAGCTCCAGACTCACCGGATCTTATCTTCAAGGGAATACACATCCACAATCCAGGAAAGAACACTGACCCCGCTCTGAAGTCCATCTAAATCCAAGGCACTTCAAGGTCACTGGTCCTGGTTCTTCCATCTTTCAGGCATTCTCCTGACTGTAAGCCCCCCAAGGAAACCTCTCCTTCAGCAGCTCAGTCAATTCCCACCCCCAGGCCTCGGCCTAGCCTTGGGGGGACAGGCTGAACAGGACCCAGCCCTAATCCATGGCTGGTCCAGGCGAGAGAGAGAGCACATGGCAGCTCCCACCCATATATGTACACTCTCCCAGCAGACACCACTGGCTGAAACAAGCCCAGTGGTTGGCTGCTGTACTGTACACATATACAGTGTCTCCTATTGGCTGTCCCCCAATATGACAGAGTCTCACTCCGCACAGGGGGGTACAGACAAGGTTAGACACCTGGGAATTAACCATGTACTTGCTTCTACAAATCCAGCCAGGCTGTCTACAGCCCTGGCACATCACTAAATGCATGGTGGTCACATCACAAAAGGTGAAACGGTTTTGAATCTGTAATAATTTACTGCTAGACTATGTTGTCCTTATGCTGTGATATATTTTTGGGACATGTTTCTAATTATGAGAGGACTGACTTTGTACTTTAAAATAACCTTGAAATGCAGTATAATAGCCCACATATCTAAAACAGGGTGGAAGTAGAGGTGTTTCGTATTGCTGTTTTTCTATTGCTGGCTCCAACAGACATCTGATTGGCTACTATAAATGAAACAACTTTTCTTTTCATTCTGTTTTCATGCATAAAGCCCATGAAGCTAGTGCCATGAAATATGCCGAGGGCATTAACCACTTCAAGACCAGGTGTTTAGACCCCCTTCCTGGCCAGGCCATTTTTCAGTATTCAGCGCTGCGGTACTTTGAATGACATTTATTCCGTTATGCAACGCTGTACTGAAATACATTTTATACAATTTTTGGGGGATAGATGGAGTTTTCTTTTGGTGGTATTTCATTTAATTTTTTACTGTATTAAGGAAAAATTATTGAAAATTTTGAAGAAAAAAAAAGTAATTTTTTCCTTATATTAGGAAGCAGTGATTATTACCCATATTTTTGGTAAAATATGAAAGATGGGGTCACGTCGGGTAAATAGACACCAAACATGTCAAGCTTTAAAATTGCGCGCACCAGCGAAAACGCAAAAAAACTATCATATCCAAAATTGACCATAGGCGGCGCTTTAAAATTTTTTACCGTTCATCAGTTTAGTGTTATCAGTGGTTGATAGCCCTAAAATTATTGCTCTCATTCTGACGTTCGCGGCGATATGTAACATGTGCGGCGTAATGAGCGCAATCGTCGTATGGGTGGGGACTTTAAAAAAAAAATTCATTCTTTTTTATGTGTAACTTTACATTTTTTTGGGGGAAACTTTTATTTTTTTTCCTATTTTTTTTCCCACTTAACTTTATTGCTATCCCATAGGGGGCTAAGAAACCCCCTTATGTGATAGCAAAATAAGTGACAGGTCCTCTTTATGGACCCCCCCTGAAGGAGCTGATGAAGCAGAGATCTGCTTCATCAGCTTCTCTCCAGCATCTGAAGCTGGAGAGTGACACAAGAATGCGGAAGTGATGTAATGTACATCACTTCCGCATTCTGACAGCGGAGAGGGGACCTGAGGGAGTCCCCTGTCAGAGTGGCACTATGCTTGTCCCGTACTCGCATCGGCACAGCGGAGCCCGGGACCAGCGTGACAGCGGGAGGGGGGAAGCCGCAGGAGGGGGTAAGCCGCTGAAGGGGGGCGCACGTACCGGGACCTTATACAAGTGATCCAACGGCTCTATAGCCGGCGGATCGCTTGTATGTTAACAGGCATCGCTGCCTGTTTTTAAAAATCGGGCATTTCGCAGGGGCGTGGCTGAGCGGACGTCTAAAGACGCCCGCTCAGATCTAGAGAGCTCCTGGCCGCCGTTTTTTTTCAACGGCCAGCCGGGTAAGTGGTTAAAGTGACATTAAAATGTTTTTGCCTCAACACAACGTTAATGAAAGCACTTACCTTAAATGATGTCTCTTAATCTGATCATCTTCTTCTTTCCTGTCGTTTTCAGCCTCCTCTCCAGCGCTGCGGCGAGTTTCCGATCCAGCGCTGACTCCTCTGTGATTGCTGGCGCTTCCTCTCCCACGGTGTCTGTATGCGGGTGTACGCGTCCATAGACTTACCCTGTGTCTCTCCTCGCGTCCCGGCCGAAAATGTGAACTGCGCCAAGATGCTTTGCGGCCGCCCGAGCGGTTTCACATTTTCGGACGGGAGCGCGCAGGGAAGATACAGGTAGGTTTAAACCGCTGTTAAAACGTTAATTTTTTTACTTTTTGCATAGATCTACTGCTTGCTAGCTGTAGATCTATGCAATAAAGCTGAGGGTTTAGAAACCCTTTAAGTGATATCAAAGAACATAGGCAGTGTATTCTTAGATTGGAATTGTCCTCTAGTGGCGCCCTTTGTGTTCCTTCCATTGTGTGAGCACATTACATTCTGTTTGTGTCTTGGAATTGCCAGTAAAGGGTTTATTTATAAATGTTTTTACCTAACATTCTCACAATTTTCACCCTTCACTCATATTTCCAACTGAATCCAGTCAGTAAATGTGGGAATCTTGGGTGAATGTGGTGTGAATCTTGAGTAAATACATTTTAACTAGATCCCTAAGGCTAGACCCCTGGGCCCTGACCTCTGTGTCTGCTTGTCTGTATGGTGTAGATATTAGACCGTAAGCTCCTTTTGGGTCTAATTTTGTTAGAATTTTGGCCTGTTTATAAGAATCAACCAAAATTTTTACAGCGTTTGGCCCTGTTGGCTTAACAAAAGTCGTTTACATGGTTGACTTTTGGTGAAGGAGCCAGGCGGAAAGCTTTTGACCAAGCAGTGACTGCCGCCATGTATTCTGACAGCCAATGCCCGCAGCAGGAGATTTGTCCATCTATGCTGTTTAGCATGGCTAAACAAGAAAAATCTAATAGTATATGGCCAGCTTAAAGACAAAGTCCACTTTTTGAGAAAAAATAATAAATGCACACTTCTTCATAAAAGAAAAACGTTCATTGAAGCAAGTAAAGTATTGCAACCATGATCAATAGATTGCGGCCGGGTGCAGTGCTCTGGAAAATAAAAGCTATTCCATTGGCAAAATGTTACTTTGCCTTTGACTTTGGCTTTATTAATTAGGTTGGGAGAGTAATTTAATCAGTGACACTGATTTTGAAATATCCCTGCCATTCATCTTACCACTTTCCCAGTAGAAATTAAGTTAAGAATGATTGATAATATTGCATTTATTTCATATTTTTATATTGAGTTAGGCTGGACATATTTATTAGACAGCAGTCAGATGTCAGGAAACAATTTAGATGTGTTAACCCCTTCAGCACCAGAAGGTTATAACTGTTTGAGCAATTTAATTTCCTGGCTGTGTCCTATTATTGTTAATACCTTTTAAATGGTCATGTATAAGCAATGAACCCGTGAATGGCTACATGAGACAACTAACTGGCCCAGTCAGCACAACCCACTGTGATCAAGTGATAACCCATTCATCATCATTTTGTATATGATATGGACCATGATATGGATTATTCTTTAAGAAAATAAGCACACTTCCCAGTGGTGGTTTAAAACAGTGCCTAGGAATAAAGGGTCTAACTTGTTTTTTTTAATCTATTTACACAAGTGTGTCTTGATTTCTCATATACCACCAGAATGTATAGGCTGTGACAAACTTAAAGCAGAACTTTAGTTGAAAAAAACAAACTTTGCTGATTAAAAGTTTTTAAGAGAGACCTATGGTCAAAACTTTTTTTTTTTGGTGTTAGTTCTCTTTTGGGTCACAGGAGGACATTTGCTATTGCCTGCTATATGCTGATAGCGCAGACCTGCGCTGCAGCCGGGAAGGATCCCAACAATTTTGTCGGGATCCATCTCGCTACCTGATTGACAGCTGGCTCTGCCACTCTAGAGCCAGAGCCAGAGCTGTGCCCGCCCCTTCCCCTGTCCATCCCTCCAGTCATACGCTGGGGGAACAGAATGGAGTTGGGGGAATCCCTGTGTGGAGCGATGACTGACAGGGAGAAGATTGGGAACAGATCAATCAATGCTCTGTGATCGCTCAGTTCTTGATCTAGAGAGCCAGTGTGTGACAGCTTCAGTGTCACACGTCGGCTCTAACTATGGGGATGAGTGCATTTCACCCTCCCCATGGTTCTCCATTAATTTCAGAATAAACTCTGCATAGCTGTTCTGCTTCTTATATTTCTACTAGCAGGTGCTAGCATGTGCAGCTCAGTGTATAATCTTGGCATTTCTTGCTTTTGGAATTATTTAACATCACCCCAGGCTGACCAATAAAGAAAGCCAAAGACTCTGAACTCATAAAAAGACTGGGCAAATTGTTGCTGAAGGCGAGGGAGCTTAAGAATGTCGCATTTCTGGAGGGTATAGGCGGCTTTAGTTCTGCTCTAAAGTAGATGTAAACTCTAAATGAATATTTAGTTGCTAAAGCACTGTGTACAAATAATTAACAGTTTTTTTTAAATAAAACTTTTTCATACTTTGTTGCATCCCAATGCTGCCGATCTCCTGCAGCCTCTTTGCAGCCCCCAGTATAGACATATACTCCAGCGTTGTCTGCAAGGTATTTACAGGGCGGGTTTCCTGATGATGACAACAGTGGACCATATCTGTGTAATGTGTGTTGAAATGACCCTCTATCAGAGGCCCGTGTGACAGGATGATGAAGCAAGAGCACAATTACATATCTCCCAACTTTCTGAGATGAGAAAGATGGACACCTTCCAGGACAATGTATTTAGGTAATGGTTACACCCCTGTCACACCCCCAGTTATGTGGACCATTAAGAATTTTTTTATGCCAAAAATAATTACTAAAACCTAGAATTATTTTTTTTTACTCCATTACTGGCTTTTCGAATTTTGGTAGTTAAATAGAACCTTTCCAAAGACAACTTTACATCAGACCAAAAAAAGGGACAACTGAGGAGAAAAGAGACAGCAGGATTTGGTTCCAAATAAGGGACAATTGCGAGCATAGGCGTCTCTACAGGGGAGAAAGGGGGGGCAATTGCCCCCCCCCCCAGGTTATTCCTTGCCCCCCCCCCGTGTGCCCCCCGCTGATTCCCCTTTAAAACGTCCGCTGCCGTACAGCTTCACTGTATGGCAGCGGTCTCTTGCCAGCTGACAAGTCGGGCACACGGTCCACGTGCCCGACTTGCAGGAGCAGCTACACCGTCTGCATCTCCGACATCCTGCAGCAGGAATCCCTAATCTGGCGTTTACATGCAGCAACTGTCACCCATTCAAGTTAATAATCGGGTGACAGCTGCTGCATGCACACGCCTGCATACTGCATGTAATTGTATGTGATATGATAACATGCAATTATAAAAACAATCAGTGTCCCTGGATACACAATTGTGTAACCAGGGATAGTGACAGATTCCTAACTGCATGTAATCCTTTCACATATGATTACATGCGGTGTGCAGGCATTTACATGCAGCAGCTATCACCCAATCATTAAATTGAATGGGTGACAGTTGCCGCTTGTAACATGTACAGACATTAACACTGGTACCTTTTATATAGTAGCGGCTCCTACAGGACTAAATATTGTGTCCAGTGGCCCCCGACTAAATTGAGTTTGAGACCCCTGCTGTACGGGCTCCTCAGCACTCGGCAACCACTTGAATCTTCCTCCTTTGGTATCTTATGTGCCCCCCCTATATATTGTTCCTAGAGTCGCCACTGATTGGGAGGTATGCATTTGGAAGACAGGAGCAGAGAGTTGTCACTCTATAACAGGAATTGACTGAGCAAAGACATTGATGTCGGAATCTCCAGGTATTATTTTAATTGAAACTGACTTTTTAAAATAACATTTACATGCAAAAGCTTATGAGATTGTAATGAATTGGCTTAAGTAAACTTTCATTCACTCACCAAGACAGTAATTGGAAATTCCCAGTTTAGATGATTGCACTTGACTTGACTTGAGTTGACTTCATGATGATGCCATAGTTGTATCTATTGGAGGAATTTGTGTCCAACAGACATAAAAGGTTCATGATTGCATGTACCTCATAACAGAAGTATATCGTCTTTGGTAACTTTTGTGTTAAGTATGTTATTAATCCTTATATTATACAGGTCAGCAGTGCACCTATTGTTATCAGCTGGTAAATCAATCACTTTAATCTTTAACGTTAATCAACCTAGAAAAGATCACTGCACTCACTTTCCTCTCAATGACATTCCTAACCTAGTTCCTGCTTTAACAGTTAATGAGTAATCCTTTAAGGTTGTTCCCATAGGAAAACTGTAGACCAAGGTGTAACACACCTTGTCATTTTCTAGAAAATGTAATTTTTTAACACAGAGCACCTGGACTCATGATGAGCTGGCGTAGGTAGAGCAGCAAGTCCTTGTGCAACCAGATCAGATTTATTAGACCTAGACAGTGACGTGCCAATCTAGTCGTTTATGAAGCAAGATGTATATTATGAGCAATATCCCTTTTCTATTGTGATGTGTGTAGTATGTGACCTTCCAGTGACACCCCGTCCTTCCTGTCACTGAATGACCATAATGAAACATCAAAACCTTTATATTTTTATCTATGTACAGTATATGCTTAGCAAGTTCATTTCTGCAAATATGAGCTTTTGATTTGGTGATGAAATGGAAACCACTGATAAAAATGGAACATAAACAAAACAGTGAATAATGATATGTTGCCCGAAATTCAGGAACCTGCTCCTCCATAGCGCAATTGTACTGAAATCAGCATATATGCAAAATAAGTTCTTACTTTTTCTGTGTGGGATGATGTTGTCTTGTCACATCAGACAATACTTTGTTAGGAATCAAAAGCTAAAAATCAACTGGCACCCTAGTGTATGGTTAAGGACAGTAGAGTGCATTACTCATAGAAAGAAATCAGGTCGCACACTGCAAGCTTCAATGAAAAATGTATTACTGCAGACAGGTACACATCATCCCTCCATGGATCACAAAGATCAAAAACACAAAGACATAGATATGTTCAGTAAGACTTATTAGAATTACATATTGTATTTGGTGAAGCTTGCAGATGGAAAACGTGGTGGTGTTGTCAGAGGCGTAACTAGAAACTTCAGGCCCCCCCCCCAAAAAAAGCAAGATTTTGATACCTTATGTTTTTAAAAAAATTAATACACAGTATGTATGTTATAACTATCAGGGCTAGTTCACACCAGATCCAGTGTGTTCCGGCACGATTTGGTGCTGGAACACACTGGATCACATCCCGGCCCGCTCACTGCGTTCTGGGGTTGGAGGGGGCGTGGCGATGCATTAAAATCAATGGCACCGCAGGCATGCCCCCCCGTCCTCAGTGCGATCACCTGCATCGGAACGCATGGCAAATCAATGCCTGTGTTCCGGTGCGCTCAGAAAAAATAGTGCATGCAAATGGAGTTCCCTGACTGTCCACCTCACCCATTATAGCGTCTGGGCTCCCCCAACTGGCCAAACACCAGGGCCCGGTCGTAAACGTGACCGCTGCGACCCTGGTCATTTCAGCTGTGCGTAGTATTGGTACATTTTCACGAGTACTTGTGAAAATGCCCAGTATTGGCACTGGTGCGTCCCTACTTAATAATATAATGTATTGCTGGGACTTGTACTCCTGCATAGTTGGTGCTATTCTGCATTGCTGGAAAGGGCGGGACAGCGTGAGGAATCTTCAGGCCCTCTGCTTCCTCTCTGGGCCCCCCTCAACAGGCGGAACACTCTGTGGTTCTCAACTGGTGGGTCGTGACCCAAAAGTGGGTCACGACTCCATGTTTAGTGGGTCGCCGCATGCCTTCTAGTACACTAGGTGAACGGCACCCCCGCCTCCCCCATAGCACAGCACTGTCAGTTCTCATGCCAAGCAGCTATTCAGAATATGCTCCCTGGCGCCAAGTGTCAGCTTGAAGTGGGGTGAGCTGGGGGTATGGCCATGAGGGAGCTTCATCCATATGTGCATTGCTTAAAGCTCCCTTGTGTGACCGGAATGACGTCACATTCTGGCTAGCGGCACCTCTACAGGGAGTGCAAGGAAGCTGTACAAGCAATGCACCTATGGATGAAGCTCCGTCACAGCACAACAGCCCACACTGAACCCCTAACATTTTTTTGGGAGTTTAAATATCTGTGAGCGTGTGAGAATGTCTGTGAGTGTGTGAGATTATGTCTGTGGTTGTGTGTCTGTCAGTGTTTTAATCACAAATTATCACGCAATCGCACCTACTCTTCGTTCTGGTGTGGGAGGTGCATTGCGATCCCATTCATTTGAATGGCACCCCAAACACACCTCCCACTCACAGTTTGATCGTTTGCACTGGAACATGCAGTACCACAATGCTGTGTGTTCCGGTGCAGTGTGACTTCGGTCGCAACCTAATGACCGAGGACAAATGTGGTTCCTGAGGTTATACAGGTCTAGCGAATACAGCAGCCGTAGGTGATGAGGATGGTGCTGAAGGAGGCTACTGTTAGTGATGATAGGCAGGAGTCAGACCATAGTGACGTACCCTGGAAAATTTACTAAAACTAACCTTAGTTAGAGCAGTGACTTAGTTAGAGCTTGCGCATCTCTGTTCTTTGCATTGAAATAAGCACTGGGTTTAGATTATGTGTTAATATATATATACAGTGTATGGTGTATGTATGTATGTATATATATATATATATATATATTTCTATATATATATATATATATATATTAGGGATGCGGAAATTAACGATTAATTACTCGATTAATCGTTAAAATTTTTGAGCGATCAAAAGAATTTTAATCAGTAATGAAAAGACTCATCTCTCCGCTGGCTTCCGGGTCTTCCGGGAGTCCCGTCGGAGATCCGGTGACGTCACGGACATCAACATCACCGGACTCCTCCCCCCCTTCCCCAAGTGGCTCCGTCGGCTAACGAAGAGAAGGGGGAGGAGTCTGGTGACATTGATGTCCGTGACATCAACGGACTCCTCCCCCTTCCCTTTGTTAGCCGACGGAGACACTTGGGCTGGTGATCTGTCGACACTGAGAACTTATCGAGTTCTGCGACTGCCTGACTTTCGGTTTCGCTACAACTAAGAGGTTTGCCCAAGAAACTTGTTCTGCATGAGCGCCAGCCAAGGCATTGGCCTATACAAATACAGCACAGCAATGAAGTAATAAAATGAACTAGGATCACACTAATCCAGCACGTTATTATTCTGAGTTGCCCCACTCAAGCGGCGGCCATATTGAGTGGGGCACGTGAGATTAATAATATATAGTATATTATATATAGTGTTGCTTTGTAAAAATAAATTGAGACCTACAGGGTGGCTTGGGGGTGTAAATTAAGATTTGACGGGTACAAAGCTCTCTAGAATTGATTTGTAGTTTGATTCTGTCTGTGCCTAGATCTTTCAGGCTACCAATAATGTGTGATACTGGAGGTCACAGCCATATGGTTATGCAGCTTAAGTTTAAAAATAATTGGGTCAGGTCTGTCAATCAGCACATGTGATATTGAGCCTAGAGCCAACATGTAGTCAGCTGGGTGTTCTGCACTATAAACACCAAAGACAGGATCATTTATGAGCAGGACCTGGTGCTGGAGCAGAAAGGGACATCTGGTCTGGCTAATAAGAATTTCTGACATTAACAGTAGACAATGTTATTAGTTTAACAACTGCTTTCTACCTGCTGCAGAAAATCAACTCAATAAAGCTGGTTCCCTGTATATAATAAAGTTTACACTAGTCATAATGCTCTGACCTCACCGCTTCATGTACATATGAAGTATAATAGATGACACAGTGCTGCTAAGCACAAGACAGAGACACATTATTTAGTCTTCTGAATGAGGAAGTTGCACAGAAAAGCTTAACACTAGATGTTCAGAACAGTTTACACTTGCAGAATGGCACCGGGCCTCTGCTGCTAAATGGCTTTATAACATCTTAGTACACCTTCCAAAATGTTGAAATCCTCATGCTTGCCATATGAATATAAAGTAGGATTATGACCAGGCCACACACACACACACACACACACACACACACACATACACACAATGACCTCTGTAGCTGCAACTACTATGGAGTAGTTTATCCTCAACGATTTGCAGCTAAAGTATCTTTTAGTTTGACTCTTTTTGGTAGCTCAGCAACCTCAGTCAACAGTGAGGTGGCAGCCTGCAGGGCCTTCTAATCTCTAATGTAAACACACAGCAGGTGCACAGGAAGAGGGAGAAAGCAGAGTGCTGAGACCCGATTGATCAACATCAGTGTTGCTACTGTGAACTTTATGGGTGAGTGATTGTAACTACAAATTTAAGTGAGGGTATATTTTTTGAAGCTGAACTCCAGGATGACCAATATTGTCTAAATACAAGAGGGTTATGTATTAATTCTTGAATATTGGTGTGCTTTTGTGTATTTCATCCAAGCCTGTGCAGTAATCCAGAGTGAAAGTTTGTCTCTGTGCAGGAGCTTCCTGTAATAAAAACCAGTCACTTCTGCTCTCTCCTTGTGCAGGGTGACTGGTCTAGTATCTCCACCTCCTGTTGTTTTCTGCAGGGAGCCTATTGCAGGAGGGACCTACTGGGTCCCTCCTACAACTCTCTGCTCTGCAAAGGATATGTGAAGCACCGTAATGATGTCATTGCTACTTTTACAAGGTGATATCTGGGTTAGCACAGGCATTTGGGCCACACCGAGTAAATTTATATCCTTTGTGGTTTTTGAGGAGTATGTATACTTTTAATCGATCAAAAAGTTTAACGATTAATCGACAAATTAATCTTTAATTTCCACAGCCCTAATGAATATGTAAATATGTATATAGCCTGGTCAATAGTTTTACTTTAATATCTACTCCTCTCTTCCCCAAAAACATATACTATGTATAAAACCATGTAGTGTGTTGCTAAATTGCGCCCCTTAAGCAGGGCTGTATGTAGACATCACGCTGCTGTCCCGATTAAATTGGGATGTTAAGGGGCAAACGTTTGTATCACTGCAATATGTTGTTAAAGTGCGGCACAGTGGTTGCTTTATTTCTCTTCTTTAATTATTTGATTCTATAATGCAAGGCTGCGCACTGTGTAAAAACACAACATGTCCTATTTTATTTTCAGCATACACCTACGCTGTTTGTAAACTGGAGCAATAGGTCATAGACAAACTGGCATGTCTATGTGTTGAGACTGTGTTGGACAAGGCTGCCCAATGGGCTGGCGTGAATGAGCCCTGAGGCAAAGGGCACATGAGCAACCAGGACACTTTTGTCCGAGTATATACAGCATACTAGGCATTGTGTAATCCTACTGTTCTTCTTTTAAAAAATTGTAATATGTATGTATATATATATATATATCAGTGACGTGCGGTACCTCTTGCTCGGGGTGAGGCATTTCCCAGCCCCGCCACCCACCGGCCGAAAGCTCCACCTCCTGTCGGCCAACGCTCCATCCCCAACCCATCCGCAAGATAATGTAAAGGAGGAAGGGAGGAGACAGGGAGGAGCCTTCCTGTCCCTTACTAGCTCCTCACCGCTGAGGCTCAGTGACAGGTTACACAGCGTGGAGGATTTCCCTGCTGTGTAACCTGTTAGATGCCGATCTGAATGGAGAAAAAGCTGTCAGCTTCAGACTTGAAGCTGACAGCTTTTTCCTCCATAATTCTAGGTGAGGCTCTGTCTCACATGCCTCCCCTAACCGCACGTCATATACGTGTTGTCAAATAATCAATAGTCAAACACAGTCTCATATCCTCTTTATTGCTACATTACATGCCAAGTCCTTTTAAACTCTGTCGCATCTTGTTTTACATATTTTAGCTTTCTGTTTTGCAACTTAGACCACAAATTACATAGGATTTACACACATTTTTATGATAAAACACTCAACCTGGCTGATGACATATCCTTCCTGTGAATGCTTCATGCTGAAATCTTACCATTGCTACCAGACATTTCTCAGGTCTATCAAGGAGCTCATAAAACAGCAACAACTGGCAAAGGTTACACACTTTAAAGTTTTGAACTGAGAAGTATGTCTCCAAAGACATGCTGGGGGGTTAATTGGCTTTTGTCTAAATTGGTCCTGTATGCGTGTGTGTGATAGGGACCTTAGATTGTAAGCTCCTTGAGGGTTGGGACTGATGTAGGTAAAGTGCTGTGGAAATTGTTGATGCTATATAAATACCTGTAATACATTTTAAAAATACAAATGCTTGACATGTCTTGCAGTACAGTATTTTTTAGAAATGTCAATGAATAAATGCTGTTTTATATGAGATAAAGTCTACTATATTCAGACCGGTGAGTTTCAAAGCAGTATGACATTAGAACATATATACATATATTCCTTATAAACTAGTTTCATTTAGAATACCAAACAATACCCTTTTTGCCTCCTACACATTAAATGAATCCTCATGACTTGTACATTAACATTTTCCTCCAGTAACGAAATATCGATGTCATCATGTTTCTGGAAAACGATGATTTACTCAATACTGAGAATAATCATTAAAAATAGCAAAGTAAAAGGCCCATGAACTTGATTCCAATACCATTAAAAATTCACTGGCTTCAAATGCACTGGGTGTACCTGTGAGACCTGTGAGATCATGAAAGAAACACATAGACCCTATGGTGTCAATACTTTGCAAGTAACTGACCAGGAACAAATATGCGGTCATTGAAAATAAGTGTGGCATCACATGGAGAAAAGAACAAATCTGCTTTGAAACCAGACCAAAGAACCATATGGCCATTGAAGAATAGAAAAAGTACAACTATAATAGCCCTGCTCCAGTCAGGAGGGTGCATTCATTTTATGGGTGAAAGGCAGGGCTGTAGCTACCATGGGGCGAGTGAGGCACCCGTCTCAGGCACAGCTGAGAGGGGGCGTAGCCAGGGCCGGCCTGGCTGCACCCCTTAGAGTTAAAATAAAACAATAAAAAAAAAACAAAAGTGATGAAAAAAGTTAAAAAAAATATTAAAATCAATTAAAAATTTTTACAAAATAATGTAAAATATAAGAAAAATAAAAATGTAAAAAAGTAAAATTAAAATTACAAAAATTAAAAGGGATAAAAAAGTTAAAAATAATAATAAAGAAAAAATAAAATGTTTAAATGTTTGGATATGTGTGTTTCCCTATTTTGCCTAAGGCAGTGATGCTGAACGTGTTTTAACCCCCAGTGCCCAAACTAAAACACAATACCAAACTTATTTTCAGTGTTGGCACTTTGAGATAAATAAATTGATTTTGCGTTGCAGTTTGGGCACTCGGGCTCAAAAACGTTAACCATCACTGCACTAAACCATCAATGTTTAAAGGGAAACTACAATAGTTTTGGATCAATTTTCTTTAAAAAATGTTATTTACAAATGTATAAGACATACAATACTTAAAACTGATGTTTCAGTTTTCAGTGT